GCCATCCCTGGCTACCTGCCTACCCGCCTGCCTGGCGTCCCCTTCCCTGGGGGTCCCGGGCACCGCAGCAGGGCCGGTGGCACTGCACCACAGCGTGGGACAGGCTGAGTTAGTCCTGAAGTGAAGAAAGGCACTTACAGTTGCCACACACGTGAAACTTTCCTTCCTCAAGGACCGAGACCCTCCCTTGCACAGTGGTGGGTCCCCGGCTGACGTAGCGGAAGACGATGCGGAAGAGGTCAGGGGACGTCACATTGAGAGTCACCACGACCTTGGGCTGGTGGGAAAGAGAAAGGGGAGAGGAGCAGAGTGCATCTTCAGTCACCGCCGCTGCTTGCAAAGCCACGCGCCGCGAGGGGACAAGCAGGCGGCCCTAGCGCGTGGCCCGGGGACAAGGTGGTGTGGCGTTCCCACCGCGCTGTCCCGTTCGGGAAGCGGAGCAGGGCTGGCTGCGGAGGCAGCGACCTGTCTGCAGGACGGGGATGGAAATTCTCCAACAGCATCTGGAAGACGCTCTGGTGCAGCATGGGGGTGGCCTGCACTGGGACATGGTCTGCTCCATAGGGAAGGTTTTGAGCAGTTCCTCCTCTTGGCACCAGCATGAAATTGCACCTATCTTTGTGCTTGCAGGTGTCCTGCCCAGATGCCTCCAGAGAAGGCTGCAAGCAGAGGCCTGGCCTCATCCCCCAGAGCTTTCGGGGCCAACTGTGGTGTGCGGGGCTATCTGTGGGGTGTGTTGGGCTGCTGCAGGGTGCCTCAACCCGCTGCCCTCCCTGGTGCCACAGGACACAGGTCAAGCACATGCTTAAGGCCTACCAATATCAACTATACCTAAGCAGCAGCTTAAATACCCTCCTGCCTAGGGGACAAAGCAGGGGTTTGCTCAGGGACATGGGCCGTGTTCCTCCAAGCTCCGGTTACACATTGTCTTCTCGGAGCAAATGGGAAGGACCCCACAGAGAGCAAGCTACAGAAGAGACCTGCCAGCAGAAAGCCACATGCTAGCCCTTCTGTCAAGGTCCATTTCTCAAATGGCCACATTGGATGCAAAGCAAAGGACATAGGCTTGAGGCTCATCCTTAAGCTTTAAGGCTGAGGTTTTCTTGAGCCTACAGGAGTCTGTTGTCTCCCCAGTGCCTAATAATTCAATGGGAAATAGCTAGTACATCTCCTCGCACTGTTATCTCACCTAAGCATGAAAAAAGTGAGGAAAACAGAAAGTACGTGTATCAGAACGAGCAACCTCTTATACAGGCCAAGACCACAGAAATTAAGTCAGAGATCCCTGAGCTACAACCTGTCCCCCTAACACACAGACACACAAGCAATATTTTTGTAAGGGCCATGCAGAAGAAGAACCCATGAAGGGGGAAGCAGGTGAAATAACATCACGTCTGGGGTTTGGACAACTCCAGTTTAGCATAAACCACCTTTATGACAAACTGTCTGTCAGCAGGAGGCTGGGCAGAGCATTAACAAGAGGGTCAAGCTGAGTATGGCAGTCAAGAAGAAGCTGCTTTAAAGGGAGGGAAGATTAGGCAGAGTGGCAGCTCGGGCAGATGAAAGAGTCGCAAGCAAACCTAGAGACAGTGTTTATAGACATCTCTGTAAGCAATCACCAAGATACCATCTTTGTCTAACCTGATTAGGACGTCAGGGAATTCCCAGTTTGGGATCTTTCCTCTCATTAGTCTATGTCATCCCTAGCACTACAGGAAATCTCTGCACAAACAGGCTATATATACACCAGGCTGTTTATATTGGCCATCATGTAACTTTGGGGCTTTGAGAAGCATTTGGGGTGAAAGACGAGTGCCAAAAGCACGTCAGCCCTCCGGCCATCCGTATCCTGCCCGGCACGGAGCACGGCTGGGACGGAGACGTCACTCGTACCTGGATGGGAGACATCTGTGCGTACCCGCGCCAGCTGAAGTTCTCAAACTCCAGAGGGTTGTAGCCAAAGCGCACAGGCCGGCCAGCCGGCGTGGTGCCTTCTTCCAGCTCGAATTTCAGGTGGTGAAGGTCAGGAAAATAATGGTCCCTTGCAGGTCTGCGGAAGAGATGAAGCACTGTTACTTCTGGGCTACCCAGGCAGGAGGGCTCATCTCCCCACAAAAGCCCCCTGTAGCTTTCTGACATTAGTGTTGATCCTCGTGGGCTACATGTCAACATCTCCCACTTGGGGACAGCACCCTGCCCCGACCACCTCCTTAGGGGTGCGTGGGGACACCGCGGGCAGGAGGAAACCTCCTCCGGGACCAGCGCTGATGAGGTGGTGGCCCAGTAGATGAGTCACCCGGCACAGGGTGTCCTCAGGGAGAGCAAGCGGGACGCGGAGCACCCTCAGCTGGACGCCACCCCTGCGAGGGGAGGCCGCGGGCTCTTACTGGGTGCACGCGGGGCCGCGGGTGCTCTGCCGGCAGGGACAGGCTCCGGTGCGCTCCTCGCAGGCCGGCCCCAGCGAGCCGCCGACGTCGCACTGGCAGCCTGGGGACAGGAAGCACATGTTTACATTCCAGCCACGCTAACGAGCTCCCGATAGCGCTAATCAAAGGCGCGTCCCGACGGAGGGGAGGCCAGGCCGCTATTTTTATTCCATTGTATCCGTTTTCACGTTGGCCCGGGCCCTGTTTGGATCGGCTTCTCCTCCACCTCAGCACCCAGCTATTTCCAGGCGGCCGACAGCCACCGAGAGGAGCAGAAACCTGCAAACCCTCATGGTCGGGCTCTGAGCCCGGGCCTCCAGCACCCACCTTGCTCTCCCTTCCCAGTCTGGGAGCAGCCAGAGCTCCTCCTGCCTCTCTTCTCCAGGGCATGGAGGAGAGAAGCCATCTCTGTGCATCCAGGCCTACTGCTTCCAGTAAGAGCAAGTGGTTCCAGGGGTTAAACGCACCAGTTTCTGCGGCAAGCAGCATCTAAGGAAGCAACTTCTGCAGCCTTTCATTCCCCCTTGCCTGACTGATCCGTGCCCAGCAGTGGCCAAAGGGTGAACTGAGGCCTCTCAGATCCTCATCAAGATCTGCTCCTGCTCTATGCCTTGGTATGGTCGAAAGCAAGCGGTAGGACATCTCCCACCCCTGCTCTGCAAAGCTGCCATCCACTTATGTTTTCACATGGCCACTTGCTCCAGGGACCCGCTGTGGTCCCCTCCATCAGACCCAGCACACCACGACAGCAGCTCACCTTGGCAGCCAAAGTAGTTGGCTTTGTCCTTCTTGAAGTATCCGTCTTTGCACGTTGAGCAGAGCTGCCCGCAGACGTTTGGTTTGCAGAAGCACTGCCCATTGCCCTAGGAGACAGCAGACATGGGGTCAGTTGGAGAGCCTGTTCCCTCGGCCACAGAGGAGACATTTTTTGGCTATAGGGTCCTCATCTGAGACACTGGAGAAGCATTTTGAGTTTCATGCTCTGCTTCCTGTGCGTGGGTGGGCCAGAAAAGTACTAGATAAGTGCAATTACCCAACACACGCAAACAAAAATCCAGGGATGCTGGGCCAGACCCAGAAATATTTAACATTTAGGTGCCTAATTTATGACAGGTCTTAATCCTATGTTCTCATGCAAGCCCAGACTGTGGTGCAAGCTCCGTGTGCTCAGTGTCAGGACAGGCCTCTAGAGCAGCTGTCAGGAAAGGCAGAGTTGAAGCACTCTCCATGCTGAGCAGACGCCTGGAGCAAACCTACCTGCCGACACTCTGCAATTCCACTGATGGTGCCCTGGGTATCACAGTTGCAGCCTGGAGATGGGAAGAAGAAAAATAAGACAGCCAGGAGATCAGTGGAGCCCTTGAGGTGTCAGCAGCCTGATGGACGACAGCACCCACCACGTCGGAGGACATCAGTGACCTCTGTGAGGGATTAAAGGAGCTGCTGGTGGCACTGCCCAAGGGCTCAGCTTTCGTTTTGGACTGTTACTGTTGCAGACACAACTACCAAAAGCATTTGACTTTTTTTGCTTATCTCTCCATGAAAACCCAAGAGTGCAAAGTCCAAAGGGAGGGCTGAGAACGTCACAACTCACTGCATGAACCCTGAACTCTGTATCTTAAAGCAAAAAGCTCCAGACTCCAGCCTTTTCCCTCCCGGGCATGGGCTGCTCAGGCCATTAGAGCTCTGATGTGTTCCCTCATGGTGGAGAATGACGAAAAAGTGTCACTTCTACCCACTAGCCTGGGTCTGGGCTTTGCCCCATTCCAGCAGGAGGGAGACGTGCCGGGGCCACACAAATAACCTCTCCTTACTGGTGCAGCCGTAGGGGTTCTCTGGCGTCAGGTTCCAGTAGAGCGGTTTGCATCTGTCGCAGGCTGGACCTTCGACGTACGCCCGGCACGCGCAGGAGCCCTGAGCAGGGAGCGCAGGTGAGCGTGACACGGGCTGCCACACGCGGGGACGGAGCCGGAGCGAGCGCGGACACCCCATACTCACCGGGGCCAGCGAGGGGTCTGCGGGCACCAGCCCCGCGGGGTTACAGGAGCCCACTGCAAAGCAAGGGTGCAAGGGGAGGGTTAGGGGCAGATCGCTGCTGTCCTGGCTAGTGCTGCCGGGCGGCCCCGGGCACGCGGAAAGCGGCTACCTTGGCAGTGGGGGAAGCCGTAGGCGCCCGGCACGCAGGCGTCGCAGCGCAGTCCTGTCACCTGCGGCCGGCAGCTGCACTGCCCCGTGTCCTGGTCGCATGTGCTGTGGAGGGAGCCCTCCCTGGAGCACTGCCAAGCTGCAAACGGGGAGAGCATCCGCTGCGGAGCCCGCTCCTCCTGCGGGACGCGGCACGAGCTGCCACCGAGCAAAACGGAGCGGCCGGCAGCGAAAACCCGGCCTGGCGGGCAGGTCCCAGCACAAGCTCTGCTCAAGACCTTCCTGCTCTGCTCAGCTTGCCCCAAGTGCCACCAAAGCCACGCTGTGGCTGAGGGACACAAGGACTTGGGCGTTCAAGACTTTACAGCAATAAGCTCTTCTGTCTGCTTGACCTTCACCATCACCAAAGCAGCCAGAAAAATGGGTTAAAAATAACATGTGCACTCATTCTTTGCTTCCAGTTAAAAATACCCTACTAAGAAAAACTCACACCTATGTCTCTAAGTGCATTTTAGTGAGAAGGAGGAGCTAGGGGTTAAGGAAAAGGAGAATTCATTATTTTATCCTCAAAATGTTGGTGAGCTCCTACAAAAAGCCATTTACACCCAAACACTTAAGAGCAGAATTCAGATCTGCACCATGGACGCAAGTGCATCCGGGATTTCAGGATCCTGGATCCGGGATCTCAGGGACTGCTGGTGCTTGAGGGCAGAAGCAAGGAAAGGCTTTGGCACATGCAGAACCTGCACCCTATGGCATGAAAGGTCAGGGAGCTCCTCAGATCCCTGCACGTAGCATGGTGCTCTTTGGAGACGGATTATGGAAAGGAAATCCATTACAAAGGCCAGGAGCAGCATAACCAGGTTCTGTGTCCCCAAGGCCATCGCTGGGGCTGTACTCACGCGTGCAGCTGGGGAACCCGTAGAAGCCCAGGGCGCACTGGCTGCATGTGGGTCCCCCGAAATTCGCGTGGCACCGGCACTGCCCCGCGGGGCTGCAGTCGTTGTCCGCCGCGCCGCGGGCGTCGCAGGAGCAAGCTGCAGGAGAGGAGGTCAGAGAGCTGCAAGCCGGGGCTTGGCTCGTTCTCAACCCGGGAACACTCTCGTCTAGAGCTGTGGCCACACCAGGAAAACGCTCTGGGGGTTTGTTTTTTACAGCCCGTTCAAAGCACTGCAGCAGGTCGGTGGGTTAAGGCACTGAACTGACAAAGCGGCAGGAGTGGGGACAACAGATCAGGGCACTGATAAAAGACCCTTTGTCCCCAGGCTTTGGCATCGCCCACCACCTCCACAGCCAGCTGGCCAGATTTACAGGACAAATCCCACGGGTTCGGGTTTTGCAAAATACCAGCATCATTCCAAAATAGGCCTGGCTTTCAGAAGGTGACGGAGCAACAGGATCTGAATATTGATCCTCATGAATACGTCACATGTGGATAACTCAAAATTTGAGACCTTCGAGCTATTATTGTGCTGGCTGCCAGGCTGGGCGTGCGCTGGGCGCCGCCGCCATCCTCACCGTAGCAGTGCGGGTACGAGTGGTGCCCGGGGCTGCAGCGGTCGCAGTGAGGCCCGTCGAACTCCGGCTTGCAGAAACACGTCCCGGCGCCGTCGCAGCCTCCCGGCAGCGTCCCGACAGCGCTGCAGCCGCACACTGCGACGGAGAGAGGCCTCAGCGCTGCCCCTCTCGATCTCCAAAACCACCCCCAAAACCACTCCCCAACCCTCCAAAACCCCTGCAGAAGTCTCTGGCTTTGCCGGGACATCTATCCCAAAGCATCAGAGGCAGATGGTTCCAGCCACGCTGACCACCACCACCGCCACGTGCTCATTTTCTCATGTCTCTTGCCCCCCAGAGTGACCATAAGCAGGCCAGAGATTGTCCTTATGGTGTTTGCCACCACCTGGCACCAAAGCTCTGGTGCCTCTTGAGGTCGGGGCTGGCATTGGTGCCCACAGGGAGCATGCACGCGGACGCGGGGCCGATACGCACGCTGGCACAGCGGGTAGTTGAAGTAGCCGGGGGCGCATTGGTTGCATGTGTGTCCTTCAAAGCCACTTCGGCACAGGCACTGCCCGCTCTCGCTGTCACAGCTGCCATCGTACTGACCGGGGCCGGAGCACTGGCACGCTGCAAAGCAACGAGGACCCTTCAAAACCAGCCCTGGGAAACACAAGCCCCGGAGCAGCCGCTGGGAAGCAGCACATCCAGCCCAGAGCCCACATCCACAGGGAATCCCTCAAGAAAGCCCCAAGGGTGAGAGGGTCAGGGCTGGGTGGGAAATAGCAGCAGAAGTCATGGGAATTTGTCACTCGGAAGGCGGGGAATTCCGGCGGCGGGGAGCAGGCACTCACGCTGGCAGCTGGGTCCGTAGTGTCCCGGCGCGCACTGGTCGCACTGCGCGCCCTGGAAGTTGGGCTTGCACACGCACGCGCCCACGCGAGCGTCCTTGCGGCACGCGTTGCCCTCCGTGCCGCCCGCGTAGCAGTCACAGTCTGCAAGGAGGACAGTGGGACACCTCGGGAAGCCCGGGAATGGCAGCCCCGCTCCACCAGCATGTTCCCACCCGGAAAGGGGTGGCGATGAGGGTGGCAAGGGCTGGGGGTGCAGGAATGGGGGTGGAAGTGCTAGAGCTGTGCAAGAGATGGAGGAAGGAGGAGCGGGGAAGATGAGAAGGGAAGTGAGAAATTCCAGTTCAGGAAGGAAAAACCTGCCTGGAAGATACAGAGCTTAAAATATAAGCAGGAAGGAAAAGGTTATCTGGAGTGCGCTGGGACGCAGGAGTTCACAAGGGAAAATGTGGTCGGAAAAGAGGCAAGAGAAGATGTGGAAGGGATGGACTTGGAAGGATGAGGATATGAAAGGAAGGAGGCAGAAGGGTAAGGGAGAGAATTCAGAGCAATGGAGGGAGCAAGAGCGGCGAGACCCAACATCTGCACCCCCAAAACAGCAAGGAAAATTGCATTGCTTACTTATTATCTGTCCTGCAGGAAGCACTTGTGCTCCGGTATCGTTGTCAGCGAAAGCCGGAATAGCTACATGGAGAAAAAGAGATTGCACGGAGCTATGGCATCTGTGCTCAGAGAAACCCTTTCTGGCGTATCAGTGAGTTGATGGTCCCAAAACTGAACAGAAGCATGCACTGTGAGAACAAAGTGCAGACATCCCACTAACCCACATTTATTTAGAGCCTTTTTTATCCTCGCTTTGGGCTCTGCAGAGATCTCTTTCCAAGCAGAAAGTGCAGGAGGAGCCTTCAGCCAAACGGAGAACTCTGCCCCGACTCCTGAGAGCCACGTTCATCCCAGCTCTGCACCGTTCCAGGCTCCATGGAGCCAAGCAGGGTCTTGTCCATGGATCGTGCACGAGGACAAGGGAATGCAGCGGTGCAGAAAGACTCCGGGAAGCGGATCCGGAGGGGTTCGACCCCGCTGCCCGCGTGCCGGCTCCCCCCCGCCATCCCCGGCACTCACGATAGCAGTGCGGGAAGTCGAGGTAGCCCTCGGCGCAGGCATCGCAGAGCTCCCCGGTGTAGTTGGGCTTGCAGTAGCAGCGCCCGGTGAGGTCCTCGCAGGTGCCGTCCGTGAAGTCGGACTCACAGTTGCAGCCTGAGGAGAGGGAGAAGGACAACGCGGTCACCAGAGACCCCCAGCAGCCGCAGGCACGGGGGGACATCGCTGCAGCCATCGGCAAAGGCCCCTTTTGAGAGCTCCCACTGCCAAGTCCTCTCCGAATATAAAAGGATTGTCCCTTCGAGAGGGCCCTGGCTAAGGGGCACTGCTGCCATGGTCCTTGTGACACTGGGGGTGCTCGAGGAAAGCAGCACAAACCCAGTTCACTTCTCCAGAAATTACCCTGGCGAGATGGCACTGCTGCTCCGAAGTGGTGCAGAAGAGCCAAAATTTCACAATGAGCAGAAAGAGCCAAAGTCCCCAGCCAGACAGCTATAGCCGATGGAAATGCCTCTGTCCTGCCCGGAGAGCCACAGGCTGCTCCTGCCAGCAGGCAGAGATGGTGGCCAAGCCTGGGCTTCTCTGCAGGCACAGCTGGGTTGACGACACATTTTTAGCTCATTCCAACTGTGGGATACGCAGCCACTTCTGATTCCAGGGCTGCTGCGGACACCCACGCTGTCTGTGCTGCGTGCACACATGCATTTCCACGCAGCATCATCAGGAAATGTCTGTTTCACAACCCAGACCACTCTCCCAGGGTCACAAAATCCAGGAGAGCATCCATGGCCTGCAGTGCAAATCACACTCACGGTAGCAAATGTACGGAGAGTCGATGGGGTGGTCGGGGGAGCGGTAGTAGCCCGGGACGCAGCGCTCACAGTTGATGCCCGTGGTGTGATGCTGAAAGACACAATTAGAGGGGTGTGAGCTCCTCCAGGAGAGGAGTCAGTCCATCTGCCACATGTGCTGGCAGCTTCAGGGTCAAGAGGGAGCAACTCAGGAATACTAGTACACAGAAGACCCAAACCTGCTCAAAATGCCACATATTCCCATTTGAAAACAAAGTATTTTTTTCAAACTGCGCATCCTCCCATAAGCCCAGCCCGAGTTTCAGGTTCACATGTGACCTTGCACCCACCCAGCTTGCTTCAGATGGTAACACAGCCCCGAGTGCTTTGTGCTGTGGGGGCAGCACTGACCCCCTTCCTCAGGCTGCAGAACCAAAAGCCAGGACAGATTCCTGCCACAGTGTGAATCGGCCCCGTGTCCCCTTGGCAGCAGAAATGCTACCAGGCTATTCTACGGGCAATTTCTGCCGGGAATCTCAGGGTTGAGATCAGTATTTTGTTGCTTAGGGAGCACATTGCACCCTTTCCAATGTGGGCAGTGTCAGTCTCGCTCCATTCCTTCCGCAGCAAAAAGACCAAATTCCCTCGGATCCTGGGAGAAGCAATGCAAACCGGTGCCTCAGAAGACCTCCCTGGGAAGCGTTAGAAAGGCAATGTTCCGCTTGCAGGGGGACAACCAGGACCTCCAGTGCTTTCCCATTACTAGCACACATGCCTTTAATCTGTTGCCAAGAGCCCAAATTTCCAGGATACCTAATTAAGATAAGCAAGTGTGGGGGGCTGAGGGATTTTGCCAGGAAGGCAGCACTCCAGGCTGACAGTGGAAACAAACACATGGATCTGCAATAGCTTTTTCTATCGTACACCTTCGGACCTACCTGGCAGTCAATGCAAACACCTCCCCCTTCAAACTTGTCTTCCCGACTTTTGCTGGCTTTGTGGCGATCCACCTCGGGGTCGTAGTAGCAGTCGTAGGCATGGCCGTTGCAATTGCAAGCTGAAAATAGATATTAATTAAGGCACTGCTCCACAGAGATCCTACTGCCACCAGCCCGGGCTCAACATGAGACCTTTCCTCATGGGTTTGGTGTGGTACAGATTACACTTCCTAAGGAACAAAGCTCAAACGTATCTGGAGGAACAGACTCTTTCACAAGGTCTAGTCTGCAAACCAAAAAGCAAAGCAGGCACAAACCCCAAAGTAAAATATGTACAGGCATGTAGAGACACGACAAGAAATTATCCAGTTTGGGGCCTCGAGTGGTTTGGTAGCGGGCAACATTCCTGACTGTATCTGCTTTTACCCCATCAGGGATGGAGGTGAGCTGGGAAGTTCAGCACAGGGTAAGGAAGTTCTTTGGAACACAGCAATAAGACCCAATGGTCCTTGGTGGCTCCGCATTTCCAACAGATTAAGTGATGTAATTATACTCCATGCTTTGCATTCCCAGTTCAGCATGAATTCCAGCACCGGCATCGAGCAAAGGGTTTTGTTAGACAAATAAAAATGTCCTGTGTGCAAACCAATCCAAACGCAATCCATCTTGGAGACGGATTGAGCAACCGGACCTGCCTGTGTGAACCTTGGATCTGTGCTTTGCTCCTGCCTGCAAAACAGTCGGGAAGGGAGGAAGGGGCAACTGGAGCCCCCGCAACTTACGCTGGCACTCGTTGGCACTGTCGGCGGTCGCGGGCTTCCAGGGGAACTGGTTGAAGCCCGGGCAGCAGCGGTCGCAGGAGCCGCCGCACGTGTTGTGCTGGCAGTCGCACTGCAGCCTGCAGGGCAGAAAAGGCACATTGGGACATCTCAAATTTGCACTTTTGCTATGAGCTAAACTCCCAAGTCTTCCTCTTTTGGGGCTGTTCCCTCCCTTTCTGGTTTTTCTCCCCCTTTGCCCTTCCTTTCTTCACAAGGAGACAAGGAATAGAAGAAAATTATGCCCAGGTCCAGCAAGCCCCATGGACAAGAGAAGCGTGAAATGGTCAGAGGGGCAGCAGGAGAAACCTGAGCCGAAGCAAATTATTTGAAAGGGAGGATACAGGCTGGATACAGGTAGAGAGGAGATGGTCCTGGCGCTGGGTAAGGGCAGCACGGGAGGAATAAAAGCTGGATAAGTTTGGGGCTGACCCTCCACGTGCAGCTATGCTTCCAAAAAGGAAGAAGGCCACAAAGGGTGAATTTGGGCAGAATTTTGAGCATGATGTTAGCAGACACTTTCCCCAGTCTCTGCAAGATGCACCTCTTGCCTTCGGGGCTCATGTGAGGGCTCTGCTGAGCAGACAGGCAGCTCTGGAGACGCCAGGACTCCCATCCCTGCTCGCCCACCACCTAATTCATTAACGTCACTGACATCACTCCCAAACTTCCACGGAGCAGGAGACGATTCCCCGTCCAACACAAACGCTTTCTGTTGTCTTAGACTTATGGCTAATACAGTGTGTTCCAGCTTTTATCCATGCAATTAATCACTGCCCCGAGGGCAGGCCTGCCACTCCCAGCTCTCCCCAGCCTGCTCCATTCAAACACAGCATTTAAAAATAACTGTGATTTCTTAAAACATTAGGAACAAATGAAGCAGTCACGCCGAGCGGGAAGCAACGAAGCGCACATTCCTCCCTGCTGTGACGAGCTGCTACTGTTGGGTGCTTCCACCTGGAGGTATCCTCAAGATGTGGGACCCACAGGCATGAGTGTTGTCAACAGTCAGGCAGAGGTGGCAGCATGGCACAAATGAACTCATTTTCATGAGTTAATTCATGGGAACCCCAGCTGAACGCCCGGGAGGTCCACGCAGCCTTGTCCCGTGTCCTCCCCTTGCAGGCTCCACCAAACGCTCATTGCAGCTGCCTTTGCACCCTCCTCGTGCCCTGTTCCCACCGTGTCCCCAGGCCAAGCTGAGCCCCACAGGGGCTTACTCGGAGCCTCTGCTGCAAAAACACACCCTGGAACACGCACATTCACCAGGAACTTTGTCCTCATGATGCTGTGCAGACCCAAGAGGGAGACCAGAGGAGCAGGATAACATCTGGCCACGCTTCTGTCCCGAAGCTGTCCACAGACCCCTTCCCTGGCTGACCACTTCCAAAGAAACAGCATTTTCTTACATTTTTCATAGCAGCAGTCCAAGGTAAAGACTAAACTGTGTACAAATACACACGGGGTGAGACATCCACGGAGCGTGGGAACGTGTAAACCTGCTGAGCAGTGTCAGTCTCACTAGCTCGAGGACGTGGCTCCAGCCGCACGGCCCGGCTCTGCAGCCGATGAAATGTTTGGAAAGCGTTGGTTCCGTTCCCAGAACGCAGAAAGATGGCACTCAGTGAGCACAAATACACTTTTCAAACGTGGAAGGAGCTATTTATTTAGTCTCTACTGCTCCGAGTCGGCAGTGACCTCTCGGAGAGCTCATCCGTCACGGCTGCTTTCCTGCACCTTGTGCCCAGCCTATCCTGCTGGATTATGGACAAACGTGCGCAAGCTACAATATTTACATGTTTCATTGATGGAATATATACAAGGAAGAAGAGGGAGCAGCTATGTGCACAGAACGCACGTATTTCCTGCTCATCCCACATTGAACGTAAAACTCGAGCTTCCCTCCTGGAACTGATGCTCTGTAGTGGGGAGCACGGATGGTTTCCAGTGAGCGGCTCACGAGGTGCCCACATCCGGATTTGGCTGGGACAGAAGGAAATTGCAGGGGGAAAAAAAACCCAAAACCTTTTTCTAGTAGTTCCTGATGGTACTGAGGAAAATCACCTGCAAAACAGACTTGCTGGGGCTCGTCTCCCTGCTCATGTTGTTTGCCAGGAGGAAGGTTTGCGTCTCATCCTGCTGGTGCTCCCCTTTAATGAGTGGATCTTTCCTCACCTAAATTCAGCCCAGTCCATTGTGCTGCTAACGGGGCAGCTGTGAGAAGTGCCAACTGCTGCCTGTGCCCCGTCCCCAAGCCCCAGGACCAGGACAAGACCTGCTGCCAGCTGAGAGCGCAGCCACCACATCTTGGCGCTTCAGAGACATTTCCCTACGTTGAATAAACATTTTCATTCATGGCCAGGAAGTCAGCTCACGAAACACGCTCCATCATGTCCTAACGTCTCCCAGCACGTTCCTCCTGCCTTTCTGGGCAACAGGCACAAAAAACACAGGCATGTGCAGAGCAGGGAAGTTAAAATGAGGGGCAGGAGCCTCCCGGATATGCCCAGATGTCACCAGGATTTCTAATAGGGCCAGCAAAAACGGACTCTGTGTCCCGCTCTGTTTGCACCTCCTCATCTTGATGGTGTCAAACGCCAGCGCTGCAGAGGCAGGACCCGTGCTCACTGCTCCTCCTTCTCCAGCAGGTTGCACAGATTTATGGAGGAACGAGGTTGCCCTGATGGCTACAGCCAACGACAGAGCTCTGGCCATGCAGTGTGATGCCAGGTATCCCCAGCTCGCTCCACAGGCCTGTCCGTCCATCTGTGCCCACTCCAGCTGGAAGGCTGCAAACAGCTGCCGCGCAGCCTTGGGGAATTTGCAGCATTCCCACTCATTCCTCGTTTTCTCAATTGAAAGGCAAGAGGAATTTCACTTCCTCCCACCCGGCCACAGCACCTCATCAAGAGTATGGGTGGGGGAGATGCAAGAAGAGCTCAAATCCCATCTCCTCACTGCATCTTCTCGGAAACAAATCTGTTACAGTTACTAGTGACTGGTGCCCTGGTATCATTCTCCTTCTCATAGGTCACGGCGATGCCATGAGATGTTCCTCTCTTTGCCCAGCTTCCTTGTCCGGAGGTAACCCAAAGGGCCCTGCAGATGTTATGTGCTCACTGTTCAAAACCCCCCAAGTAGGAAATGTTTTCTCCTCTAGGCAAGTGCAATGTGCTCAGCGTGAAATGCAGCAGCTGTTGCCGAACACGCGCTGCGGTACCGCAGCACAGCTTGGGACCAACAGCGAAGACGCCAAACGCATCCAAATGAACGTGGAGGAGGGAAATTCAGGGAGGCAAAGAACCACCAGCAGAACTGGCACTGAACAGGGCTTCCAGCTCATCTATCTTCCCTCAGTTTTCCCTCCCTTCCTAGAGCTCCCTGAGCCATCAATATACCCAAGAA